ATGTGGAGGGGGGCACAACTCACACTGCCCTCCCCCTCTGTAGCCCAACTGCTATGCCAAGGTGATCACCATTGAGTCACAGAAGAAGATCGTGATTTACTCCAAGCAGCCCATTGGCGTGGATGAGGAGATCACCTATGACTATAAGTTCCCGCTGGAAGACAACAAGATTCCGTGTCTATGCGGCACTGAGAGCTGCCGTGGCTCCCTCAACTGAGGTGGGGCAGGACTGGTGCCCACACCCCTATTTATTCCCCCTTGGTGCCCTGAGCTCCCAGCACCCCCCCAGCCTTAGTGGGTTCAGCAGGGCCCACATACCCCCATCTCCAAGTGTGGGGTTGGGAGCTCCAAGCCCAGCGAGGGAGCCTCAGTCCCTTGACGAGGCAGCTTCTGCCTCCCCTGTTACCCCTGCCCACCCACCTCTTAATTTTTTTCTTTGCGGAGAAGAAGCTGTAAATGTTTTGTAGCTGCCAGCAGCTGTTTCCTGTGGAAACCTGGGGTGCCGGCTTGTACAGATCCTGTTCTTGGGGGGTTGCACAGCCCTCTTGCTTTGTGTTAATGGGGATTTCCCCTTGTGCCCTGCGTGCACCCCTCCCCAGTTCAGGGGTCTCTAGGGGCAGTGGCCATGTTCTCCCCCTGGGGGGGGGGCCCTGCGCCCCCAGTCCTGGGGACTCCGTGCCTGGAACCCTGCCTCATCTTCTGTTCCTGCCAGACCCTTTGGGTCACCCTCCCACCCTGGTGTCTGGAGGCTTTGGCTCAGCCAGGCCAGGATGGTGGGGGTGGGCCCTTCTTGTTGGGCTGGATTGTATATATGTTAATAGCGCAAACCCAAGGCCACATTTTTATAATTGTGATTAAACTTTATTGTACAAAAGTGCTTGGTCAGTATCTTTGGGGGAGAGCAGGCTGGGATGGGGGTTGAGGAGACATGGATGGGGCAAGATGAAGAGAGGGAAAGGGTGGTCTGAAGTTTGGGGTGGGTAGAGGGCTTTCAGGCAAGAGCCCAGACCTGCAGACCCAGCTGCCATTGCTTTGGATCACCTGACAGGCTGACACAGCCATGCCAGGAATCCCCCACTGAGGCCAGCCAGAGTTGGGCCAAGGTCAGGCCTCCCTGTCCTTCCCAGAACCACAGCTGCTGCTGGGCCTCTGGGCCCCTGGGAGATACAGCAGGAGGGAAGGACTGAGGTCATGCAGTGGGAATGAGGTCACCCTGCTGCTTTGATCCTATGGGCCCCCAAATCCCTCAGCACCCACCCAGCAGGTTCTGGCTTGTCCATCCTCTCTCCCCAAGTACTTCGTTGTAACCAGATGCCGGTGGAGTGCTGAGTGACCACCAGGTGGCACCCTGTGGCAAGAGAGTGAGGGGCAGAGGAGTTGGAGGCTGGGCTAGCCTCCGTTCCTGGAATAGGCCAGGAGGGAGGAGAAGCGAGCGGAAGGAAGACGGTGTGTGGCTGGCCAGCCAGCCCAGGAGACCGCCTCCCCGGTGGCCAGTTTGGGCGCCCTGGGACAGTGGCTGCAGGTAGGCAGAGGTGATACCAGGATTCAGGCAGCCTTTCCCTGGTTTGAGCCCTTCCCTTGGTCCTGGCCTTTCCCACCTTCCTATACTTTCTCCTTTCCTCCCCTTCCCACAATGCCCTGTCTCCCCACCCTTCTTTTTTGTCCCCAAACCTCTCCCCATCCACCTCAATCCCTACCCTTTCTGTGCCCCAGGCCCTTACTCTTTTAGTAACTCAGCAGTTAACAGGATCAGAGGGCAGGTAGCCTGGCTGCTGCCCCCACCACTGCAGCCTCCAGGAGCAGCTCTGCCTCCCCACCCTCTGTCATGGAGCTCTGGTTCACTAGGGTGCCAGGCCCCTTCTAAGAGTAATGAGTAACCGGGGCAGGTAGTAGCAGGCAACTCAGGTGAGCCAAGGTTTCTCCCCACAGCTGGGCATGGCAGAATCTGCACAGGCCCCGAAGCTGGTGTACCTGGTCACAGGTGGCTGTGGCTTCCTGGGGGAGCATGTGGTGCGAATGCTGCTGGAGCGGGAGCCGAGGCTCCGGGAGCTGCGGATCTTTGACCTGCACCTGAGTCCCTGGATAGAAGAGCTGAAGACAGGTGACTACAAGGGGAAGTTGTCTTGAAGAGGGTATGGTCTCCCCCATTCCCTCCCAAACCAGGATACTCCCCTACTTGGTGGAAAAGATGATGCCTGCTATGCTGTTTGGTCCACACGGATGGGATGAATGAGTCACTTGGAACATGTGGCTCCCAAGGGTGTAGGCTTAACCAAGCAGCTGGCTGATGACCTCGAATCTGACATTGCCTCTGGCCTCCCCGGCTTTTCCACCAGGGCCCGTGCAGGTGACTGCCATCCAGGGGGATGTGACGCAGGCCCAGGAGGTGGCAGCAGCTGTGGCTGGAGCCCATGTGGTCATCCATACAGCTGGGCTGGTGGATGTATTTGGGAGGGCCAGTCCAGAGACCATCCACAAGGTCAACGTGCGGGGTGAGGTGCTCCCCACCTACTCTAATCTTGCATAGGACACTCCCTGGCACATGGCTTGATCTTACCTCTCTGTTCCCCCACCCCATTTGACCTTGACCTCCTTTGATTCTCATGTGACAACCTGTACTATTGAAAGCCCTGCCCCTGTGTGATCATTGTTCATCCTGTCCATCCTCACTCCACCTGTTCTGGTTCTCCCTGGACCTGGGGTGGGCAGGGGAAAGATGCAGAGAGGAAGGAAGCCTCAGCTTGGATCCATCTTCTTCCTCCCCAGGCACACAGAATGTGATCGAGGCTTGTGTACAGACTGGAACTCAGTTCCTGGTGTACACAAGCAGCATGGAAGTTGTGGGACCTAACGTCAAAGGACACCCCTTTTACAGGTGAGCTAAGATTCCCCCATTACTTAAAGAGCCCACTTCTTTAAGCATTGAGTCTTCCTTTTACCCTCACTAGGGGCAATGAGGACACCCCATATGAGGCAGTACACAAGCATCCCTATCCTTGCAGCAAAGCCCTAGCTGAGCGCCTGGTCCTAGAGGCCAATGGAAGGAAGGTAAGCCAAGAGACAGAGATGGGCGTTGGGGGTGCAGCCAGGCCAGCACAGCCTGACTTGCAGGCTGCTTTGCATTCTGCCCTGTGGGCCTCCTATCTCTAGCCTGAGGAGGCTAGTACAAAGGGGAAGCTGCTAGGTCCCAGGTCCTAACAGTGTTTGTCATTTGGCTTTTGCCATCAGGTCCGCGGGGGGCTGCCTCTGGTGACTTGTGCCCTGCGTCCCACCGGTATCTATGGTGAAGGCCATCAGATCATGAGGGATTTCTACCGACAGGGTCTGCGCCTTGGGGGTCGGCTCTTCCGGGCCATCCCAGCCTCTGTGGAGCATGGTCGGGTCTATGTTGGTAAGGACGGGGCTAAGCAGGGGGAGGCCAAGAACAGGGCAGGAGGACCTGCTTTGAAAGTGGGTGGGACCCATGTGGTTCTGGGAGGGGCAGTCTGTGCTCTGACTGGAAAAGGATGGTCTGTTCACAGGCGCAGGTAGATGATGATTATGTAGGCATTGTCTGCATGGACCACAACGGAAACAGTATCCCTGCTATTAGGGAATGCTGACATAAAAAGCTATAGGCTGAGAAGATTGCAGGCATGGAAGCAGCAGTTCCCCAGGAAAGAGAGGGGTAGCATGTACACAGACCAATCCAAGAGAGCAGTGGCCTCAGGATCTGGGGAAAAAGCAGCTATTCCCAGGCTGTGGTAGAGATATGGGCAGCATCTAAATGGGTCCAAATAAGGAGTGGCTTGTGCATAAGCTGGTCCAGAAAAGCAGCATCTTATGTGATTGCAAGAGCCCTTGGAGGCATAGCCACTTCCCCTCACTGGCAGGCAATGTGGCCTGGATGCATGTGCTGGTGGCCCGGGAGCTGGAGCAGCGGGCAGCACTCATAGGCGGCCAAGTGTACTTCTGCTATGACAAGTCACCCTATAAGAGCTATGAAGACTTCAACATGGAGTTCCTGGGTCCCTGCGGATTGCGTCTGGTGGGCACCCGCCCACTGCTGCCCTACTGGCTGCTAGTGCTTCTAGCTGCCCTCAATGCCCTGCTGCAATGGTTGCTGCGCCCACTGCTACTCTATGCACCCCTGCTGAACCCCTACACACTGGCTGTGGCCAACACTACCTTCACTGTCAGCACCAACAAGGCACAGCGCCATTTTGGCTATGAGCCCCTGTTCTCATGGGAGGACAGCAGAACCCGCACCATTCTCTGGGTGCAGGCCATGGAGGGTACAGCCCAGTGATGGTGGGGCTGGGGCCTGGGGGCCATCATGGCATATCCACCCAGGTCTTGAGCCCTCACACACTGGATGGGATGGAATGGCTGGATTCCAGAGCTGGAAGCTCTGGTGCCATCTAGCTGTCCCAGAGCCCTCCACATTTTATGGCTACAAACTCTTGAGTCTGGGTTGTGTTCTAATGCTTGGTTCCAAGTTTCAGGGCAGGGTTTTCTTCACTCTCAACCCAGGCCTGCTGGATGTTTAGCAAAAAACTGATTTCCAGATGTTCTCACTATGCCATCCCACTTCTGATTCTCAAGCACGAAGTGGCCAAGGTTCTAAAGACTGACACCCAAGTGCCTCTGGACTAGGTTCAGATTGAAGAGACTTCTCTGGTTTCTCCCTCCACCTTTGTCCTCAGGGCATTATCTTCCCATTATTTAAAATAATATATCACCTTTAGACATTTTCTTAATTCCCCTCAATGAAAGCCGAGAAAAATCAGTGTTTTTTCACTTCTTATCCCTCCTCCCAAATTGAGATCTTGCAATATTATTAGCTCTCTGCCTGAGGATATCTCAGTAATGTTGTACCTTGCCAAGCCCTGTATTAAAATCCTTTTCCAAGCCTGTGTCATCAGTCTGTCCAGCAACTCTGCCACCCACTACCCCAACAAGTTTCCCCTCCCCACGGCGCCAGTCCCATGTGGGGACAGAAGGAAGTGAGCACACAGCACGCCCGCTGTTGGATTGGTTGCTATTTCTCCCATCCCACGGGGCCCGGCCCGGCCCGGGAGGGGGGTTGGGGGGCTCTGGGGACAGGACATGCAGGGCTGGGGGGTAGAATTTCCTGTATTTTATCCATTTGCAACTTGGTCACCAATAGAGAGAAATGAGACTGAGGGCTAACAGGAGAGGGTAGCCTGGCTCTGGGCCCCCAGCCAGGCCCCAAGAGTCCTGTCCCCTCTAGAGAGGGAAGGGAGAGAGCTCTAGAAACCAACGGAGAAACAGAGAAGGGGGCAGGGGCTCATGTCAGCAAACACAGCTACATCACGTGACACGCCAGCGACACAGAAACACGCCAACGCACACAGCTGCACAGCGGGCAGGGGGCAGGTGGGAGAGAAGGGAGCCGGGGGCCACCCATCTTGTCCTCTGCGGGGCGGGCTGGGGGGGGCAGGGTAAATGCATAGAACACATCATGTGTACACGCTCAAGGCGTGGCATGAGCGTGCGACGACCCACGGGCACATGGGATGAACACGCAGTGTGCTTCATGAGAGGCCAGGATGGGGAATAAGGGAGGGAAAGCACTGAGCCCTGGCCAGGCCTGGGACCACCCACGGGGCACATGGCTTGATGGCTGTAGATGCATGGAGTGTGGGCAGCACACACTTGTCTGAGAACATGCAAAAAATTCCAACCCCTAGACAACACTCGGACACACATAGACAGCAGCCAACAAGCAAACCTATCATATAATGTGTGGGACTTTTAGAAAGCTAGGGCACAGCAGAACCTCAGGGATCCCCTGGTCCACCTGAGGCCCAGAGATGGGCAGCTGTGAGCCTAATGCTATTCAAAGAGGCAGGAGCAGCACTCCAGCCTCAGCTCCACCCTTCTGGTGAACTTCAAAGCTGTGGGGCTTCTGGAAACACCTGGGCTGAAAGGGGGTCCTGGCTGGGAAGCAGGAAGGAAGAAGGGGGCTGGATGCTGGGATCAGCTCTGACATCTCCATAGAAGCCTGGGATGGGAGCAGAAGGGCTGCAGTCAGACTCCGGGCAGACTTCCTGTCCTGTAGAAGGGCATTCTGGGAATGGACAAGCAAGCTCCCTTCCTCAGGACAGCTGATCTGGGGTTTACATACATGTGGCCATATTGACACAGACACACCCAGGATGGGCAGAACCTAAACAGTGAGGTAGGGAAGAGGTTGGCTGTCTGAGTTTGAGGGGGGGGGGGCGCTGGGAAGGATGTGTTCTGGGAGGTCACATTTGCATGGGCTCTCATACAAACACGCAAACATTCACACTTTGCATGATGTGGTAACCTGCAGTCTACACACATAAACCAGAGTCCTTCAGCTAGTACACAGGTATGCCCCACCCCAGGGCAGGGCAGATTCATGTACTTTGTATGTTCAGCCTATTTGTTCCTGGGCCATTGGGAGGGGGTGGGTTTCCAACACTGTCCTTTCCCTGTCTACCCTCTACTATCACCAAATACAAAACCCACCAACTATGCATATGCTATCTACACCACAAAGAAGAAATTAACCCTTTCCTCACCATCAGAAAACCAAGTCTACATCCCTCAATCTTACCCCTGGTGTGGGGAATGGCCATTGATGATATTTCAGCAGGAGAGGTGTCTAGGGGATGGGGCCCAGGACTTAACCCACACTGGCCACTCCAGTAAATCTGAAATCAACAGTTGCCCAAACCCAAGTTTCCTGAGGAAGAGCCCAGAGCATAGGATAGGATAGTGAAGACAAATGCTTCTCCCAGGTTCAAGGGGGGTGTGGAAGAGGCAGGAAGGGTCAATGCCCTGATTTTCCATCTGACTGAGGGCAGCTCTTGACATCTCACCTCATCAGTAACATCCCTACAAATGTCTTTCTGGGAGGCATTTGTGTAAAAATGGGTACAGACCTGAAGGGACACCATGCCAACATCAGCATGCATGGGTGCCCCAGTATACATGTTGTGCCTGGGTGTGGCTACCTTCCTGGGACCTCTTCAGCCTTGGTATGTGTGAGTACATTGAGCTGTCACAGATTCAGGCCTGTCCCTGGGCAGAGACACAGAGAAAGATAAGGATCTGGGTATGTGTGCACAGGGGCCCTGAGGTTGGGCAGGGCAATGTGGATATAGCAGTGTGTGCAGCCACATTGGTCAGCAGCTCTGCAGAGAGGGAGGGGGACAAATAAATCTGGATAAACAAACAGGAATAGGGCACATGTCCTTAAAAACAAACAAGTGTATGTGTGTGTACACAGGGGACAGAAACACACTATGTAGAAAGCCCCTAAACAGACATGTATGCACACACACACACACACACACACACCCTCACACACTGTATTCCAGGTAGCATAGAAATATAGATATCTGTACCCACCCAAAAAGGTGTCCAGTCCATGATGTGGAGGGCTCTAAGAAAACTTATCAATACTTCAGACAAGACAGAGTACGCACACGCATACACACGTACCTCCTATCACCTATTGGGGAAAATGCGTGTCTATGTAGGCCAAGCTAGGTCATTTACAAGTATATACTTCCATTCACCTCTGGGGATCTCCAAAGCCCACAACACACACACACACACAAACACAAACACACACACATACACACACAAACACACACACACATACACACGCACATACACCCTCCCTGGGGCACACAGCAGCCCCTGGGGTGTCTAAGCCAGGAGGGTTTGTTCTAATCATGTGGAGTGTCTGCCATGGCCCATGTGTCTCTGGGCCTCCCTGAATCCTTTGAGAATGTAGAACATCTGCACACACACACACTACCCGCCTCATTTGTAGCAGACGAGGGAGGAGGTGTCAGTGGAGGAATTGCTGTTGCATTAGGTTCAAACACTCAAACACAAAATTCCATGTACACAAACTGTGTGTCTACAAATCTGTGGCCACACACATACCCGCCGACACACACACACCTATTCACTAAAGACAAACCAGGGTGTGGTGGGCTGCTATGTTGTACTCAGGAACAGTCTACACAACAACCCAGGTGAAGGGGAAGCTCAGACCACACACAGACTCAAGGTGGGGGCAAGAGGGGTGATTCGTGATTCGGTGCATCTACACATCTACACATGTACACACACGCTGGGGTGTCCACACGTCTCGAGCATGTGCCGGCGGCATGCATGTTGGTGTGCATGTGTGATCACGCCTGCTGCTATCTACGTGCGGGGGCAGGGGGTGGTCCAGGGCAGGGTGAGGCCCAGGAACTCCAGGGTCTGCCGTGGGTGGAGGAGGGAGTGGGGTTACCTGGGTCTGTTCTGGGGGTGAGCTCGGAGCAGGGGATGGAGTGAAAGGGGTGATGGGGGTATTGCTCCCAATGTGGTGGGGGAAGGGTCTGGGAGAGATAGGGGTGAGGGGCCTACAATCCCAGCGTCCCCCCAATGGATGACGCCAAGACCACCCCCAGCACCACACAGCAAATGATGATCATGATTTTCTTCTGCAGGTAGAAAGATGAGAGAAAGAGTGAAAGACAGAAACAGAGTGATAGAGAAGGAGACAAACCAACAGACAGATGGGGGAGAAGACGGGGGAGGAGGGTGAAAGGGAAAAGGGGAGAAAAAACAGAAATAGGAAGAGGTCAGAGCCAGAGATAAGGCCTCTCACCCGATTTCAACACTCAGCTCAGCCTTGGCCTGAGCCCAGCCCCACCCACCAGGCTCCTGGTCTCCCTGCCCCCATCAGGCCACCTGCCCTGGCTCACCCTCCGCGCCTTGCTCTGATATTTCACAGCTTTCTTGGTGTCGGACACAGCTCGCTCCACATAGTCCACAGAATGTTCCACGTTGTACTCGATGCGGTCAATCATCTCCCCCTGCAGACAGAGGAAGTGTGCACAGGGAGAAATGGGGGCTGGGCTGGGAGACAGAACCTTGGGGACCAGGGCAGCTCCTGGGGTGGCATGGCAGAGCCAGTACCTGGCTTTCCACAAGCATGGCCATGTCCACGAACATGTCGTGCAGCTCGCGGATGCTGGTTTCCAGTTTGATGATCTCATTGTGCCTCGTCTCAATCTCGTTCAGTGCCTGCTTTGTCATCTGCGAGTCCATTTTGATCTAGGACCATGGGAGTTAGGGAAGAACTGCAATTACCCTTTGCCCCCGTAAGAGCTTCGATTCAGCAACCAGAGTGTCTAGGTTCAAAACTGAATGTCATTTACTAGCTGTAACCTTGGGCAAATTTAACCTCTCTGGGCCTTGGTTTTCCCACCTAGAAAACATGGATCCTAACAGCGCCCGCCTCACTAGGCTGCTGTGAAAATTGAGTGAGTTAATATGTAGTATATCAGGGGCTGGGACGTGGCTCAGTGGTAGTGTTTGCATAGCATGCATGAAGCCTTGAACCCAGGGCTTCAGGCATGCTACGCAAAAACTGATAACCCTGCCCAATCCCTTGGCCACGCCCCGCGCCTCTGGTTGGCTCTGGACCTCCAGCACCCAACCCGCCCAGCTGCAGCTAGGTCGCCTCTAGAGCACCACTAAATAAATAAAACATAAATCTTACTTTTAAAAAAATCAGTATATCAGTTGGAATATCTGTCACTAAAAAGAAATTTTGTTTGATTATAAGAAATAAGACTTGTCCAGAGCCCACCACCTTGCCCAGGAGCCTCCTCTAACACACACACCAGGGAAGGAAGCCCAGGGAAGAAAGATGTCAAAGGCAGCAGGTGAGAAAGTGGCCCAGATGAGAAGGCAGTGTGCCCACAAGTTGCCTAGAGCCTGCATGAGATGAGGCAGGGGATAAATAATAGCAAAATGTACTACAGTCCTTGAAATTCAAGTCATGGGGAGAGACTCCAATTCACAGTCGATCTCCCCTGCCCCAAAATTCCTGGCTTGAGCTGGTCTACCACTAACTTGCCAAAATTTAGACCATGTTAAGCTACTCCTTTTCTCTAAAGCCTTCAGGACTCCCCACTACCTCAGCCTACACACCTTTATTTTGAGAGTCAAGGCCCATTCTCCCTTTTAGCACACACTCTTGCTCATCCTATAAGAATCAAAATCACCCAGTAGCTGTTTGGTAAATTGTCTCCTCTTCCTGTTTTTTTGCTTTGTTTCGTTTTTTTTTTTTTTTTTTTAAGTATTTATTTATTTTAGTTTTCGGCAGACACATCATCTTTGTTTGTATGTGGTGCTGAGGATCGAACCCGGGCCGCACGCATGCCAGGCGAGCGCGCCACCGCTTGAGCCATATCCCCAGCCCCTTGTTTCGTTTTGTTTTTTCAGAGTTTTCTCTTTGCCTATTTCCCCCTGTCCAAAATCTCCTTGCTTCTTGAGAGACTGCTTAATATCACCGCGCCCAGGAAGTCCTCCACAGCCCTCTCAGCCCAGGTCCTGACCACCCTGCTTTATAATGATGGGTTTCTATTGTAACGATGGTGGGCCAGTTGGCAGGGTCAGCTCTTGTCCATTGAAATGACCCCCTTGGAACTGTCCACCAGGTTTCCTCCATTCTCATACAGACAGACAGATGGCCTGGCTGCAGGTGTTTGGAGAGGGAGAGAAGGAGCTAAATGGCCCACAATCAATTTGCCCAAAGTAAATTCAACAAAGACCAATTATCCAAATAACAACTTACTGCAAACTATTAAGACAATCACAGTGCATACTTTAAAGCTGGTAGAGAACCATTACTCAGACCACTCGCCTTCAGAAGCAAAAATAGGACTGGGTAGGCCAGGAAAAAAAATCCATAAGGAAAAAGAATTGCGGTTAGGGGAAAACTCAATCGGTCACATATAAAACAAGGAAAGGGCAGTGTGCAAAACTTAAGCAAAACTAAAACTTATGTTTTAAAAATCTTCAAAATGTTCACAAATGAATGACATGCTTCAGGTGGGGAGCATGTAGTAAATCTGAGTAGTGGAGAGTCCTGACTCTCATACTAGACGGTGGAGTCAAATCTTTCTGAGCTGGTTTTCCTCATCTAGGCCCCCCTGAGAGTTGTGGAGAGGATGAAATGAGTTAGTAAATGTAAATGTGTAAAATGCTTAGAACAATGCCTGGCACGCTATTGTTTGCCAATTTTATGGGGATGCCTTCCTGCCCTGCCCCCACGGAATTCCCCAGTTCCTCGTCCAGTCTGCCCACTGCAAGTTAGTTATTCCAGGGTGGACTTAGGACCTAGATCCAACCTGAACTTGGGGAGGAGAGGCAAAGGATTTCCAAAAACAGACTCCGCCCCCACCCGGGGGCTCACATCATCCGTGAAGATGGCCAGTTTCCCGCTCTCCAGCATGTCTTCCAGTTCTTCATTGGTCGTGGTCCTGCCGGCTGTGGGGAGAACCGACTATCATCTGCTCAGGGACGGGGCCCTGAAGTGGTGGGGATGGGGCAGGGACCCGGGAGTCCACCCTCCTGGCCAGCTTGAGTCAGGCGCCCCCCTCCACAGAGAGGAAGGGCCTGGAAGGGCGCTTGGGCAGCCGCGGGAAGTTTAGGGCAAAGGGCACACGCACTGATCTCCAGCTGTCGCTGGATCCGGTCCTTGCAGCGGTCCCGATACTTGGACTGGGTCGCGTTATATTCGGTCATTACCTCCACAAACTTCCGGGAGAGCGTCGAGTGCTGGGGTGGGTGTGGGGGGACAGACACAGGGAGTCAGGGAGCCCAGAGGGAAGCAGCACGTGGACGTTTGAGTGGGGAATAGCCTCAATTAGTTTACGGGTCTCTCTTCAATTCGGGCAGCGACCTAATGCCTCACAAATCCAGTCCCTTATTCCCCCAAGGGGTATCTCCACCCTAAACCAGCGGGTGACCCCCAAAGTGGCTGGGTTACGCCCACCTCTATAACTCCGCCCAATCCCTTGGCCACGCCCCGCGCCTCCGGTCGGCTCTGGACCTCCAGCACCCAACCCGCCCAGCTCCAGCTAGGTCGCCTCTCGAGCCAGATCCAGGTGCCGCCCCATCTGGGCCACTGACTCCTACCTGGGTCTTGCGGATGCGCAGGTCCGCGGAGGAACGGTTCAGTCCCTCCTCTTGTTCGATGCTTTGCTCGATCGCTGAGAGAGAGAGAGAGAGAGAGAAAGAGAGAGAACGAGAGAACACACACAGTGAGGCACAGGAAACCTGGGGCATATGGATCCTGGGTTTATGAAGGATCGACACCGGGGAGCAGGCTCCAGGCCTGGGAAGATATGTCATGCCCATGGCGAGGGCGGGCAGTAAAGAATCCAGGGTGAGGGGCAGCCCAGCAAAATGCACAGGTGTTTGTGGGGTTCCTGAAGGCAGGTAGATGGGAAAGTTGAGGGTCAAAAGGCCACCAATTAGAAGGGGGCTATTTGTCTAGTGGAAGAATCAGGTCTTGGAAAGTGCCTGGCTGTAGCTCCTGCCCAACCCCATGAGGGGATGTGGACCCAGTTCACTCAAGAAGGGTCCCACTAGTGAGGAACTCTCCATTTCTCTGGACAGGGGCAGAAACATACCTTGTGGTTTTAGTTCTTTTCATTGGGGTGTTTTGTTTGTTTTGTTTTTTGGTACTGGGGAGTGAGTGAGCCCAGGGGCACTTTACCACAGAGCCACATCCCCAGCCCTTGTTCCTATTTTATTGAGAGACAGGGTCTCTCTGAGTTGCTTAGGGTCTCACTGAGTTGCTTAGGGCCTGGCTAAGTTCCTAAGGCTTGCTTTGAGAACCTCCTGTCTCAGCCTCTCCAGCTTCTGGGATTCCAGGCCTGTGCCACCTTGTCCAGCTCTTGTTTTGGTTTTGAAACAATGTTTCATTAAGTTGTCCAGGCCAGCCTGGAACTTCTGGGCTCAAGCCATCCCTTCTGCCTCAGCTTCCTAAGTAGCTGGGCAAGTCACCACACCTGGGTCCCCTGTGATTTTTTTTGGTGGAAGGCAGACACTTCCAGGTAGGTGGGGTTCTAGCAGCCACCCTTTCCTTGAAGAATTCTAGGGCAAACAGATGGATGCTTCAACAGAAAAACAGCCCTCCCCCTGCTCTTCGAGGTGATCCCTGTCCTGGGAGTTTCCACTTCTAAAGGATGTTCTGGGAAAGCGCACAGATTAACTGGGATTCCTGCTTCTGGATCGTGCACTCCTGACACTATCATTCAGATTTTTTAAAAAAGGAGCCTGCGGTAAGATCTACTTTAGTAAGATCAGAAAATGCAGCAGGAATGAATCACCAAGCCTTCTCAGACCTCACAGGGCCTCCAGGCCATTCCTGAGAACATCACTTCTCTGTTTTGCTGGCAGCAGGGAAGGTATGGGGCTGGATGACACCCCAAGGATCCCCTGCCAGCAATAGCAGGCACAGTGACTGAGTGATAGTTCTGGCCCAGCTGATTCAGGAAAATCACAGGAACACATATCAAGGGATACTGGAATCTGCTGTCCCAGCTTGGGGCCCTGTTGTCAGCTTTAGGGTTGGAGCCAAGTTGGGATGGAGGGGTCTTTTACTGTAGGTCACTGATCATGCTTCAAACTAGAAAATGAGTCAAAGGGATGAAACAGCTCTTTCAAGGTCACACTTAGGGCCTCAGTTCATGTCTCCAACAAGAGATCAGAGGAGATGAGAATCTTCTCTTTTTTTCTGGAGATATGGAGGGTCAGCTTCTTAAACCACTGCCTCTCTTATTTCTGGGTCTATTCATGAACCTTGAATCTGAGAGCTCTCCTCCGGGTCTTCTGAAGAACATTCAAGGTCGGAGCTCAATGAGCACAAAGAAATCATTGAGCTCAGGGGTTTTAAGCTACGATCCAGGAGGAACAGAGCTTTTGAGAAGGAACCCCAGGGGCTATTGCAGAGACTGAAGGTAGAGCCTCCCAAACCCAATTCAGGTAGAGCAATCTTTTATATGTTTCACATGTTGAGGGGTTTTTGTAAGATTTCATTAGAAGAAAAAGATTTTTATGCTAAAAAGAGAAAAGGAAAGAAAAAGAAGGCAGTTTTGAAATTGGTGTAATTTCTCTTAGTATACCCATGAGCAAGCTGAGAGGGAGGAACTTGTCCAGAGTGAGTTAGAGTGGAAGCTGGATTCCCTCTGCCTGGCTTGGCTCTTAATGTGACCCTGGGTTAGGGCATTTTCCATTCCAGCACACTCACCCGAGTGCAAAGGGCTTGATTTTATGAATCAGCACCAGAGATTCACATATGGCCTCCCCTTGAGTCCGGGAGGACTTGGGGTTTCTGTCCCTGGGACCAAGGTCAGCACTGTCAGGCCAGATATCTCATAAAGTTCCTTTCCCCAAAGACTGAGACATTAGAGGTGCTTGGCAAATATTTCTGATGCTGAATTACTATGAGCACACAAATTACCATCCCGGTACCTCTGCTATTCCCCTGGCACCAGCAGACAAGGAGGTTCCCAACCCACAGTGCTTTGGGAGAAGGTGGTTATTACCAGCACCCAAGTCCTTAAATTAGAGTGAATACATGAGCATTTGGCAAGTCCCTCCTGAAAGCTTGCCAGCCCCTGATGTCAGCCACACAGTCCAATCTGTCCTGAGCAGAGGATACCAATTCAGAAGCATTTGCTGAGCCCACCTACTGGGTGCTCAGTGATAAGCTAGGGACCCGTTCAGGAGGAATGAGGACTTAGCAACACCAAAGCCGCTTGGAAGATTCCATTTTTCTGATGGACTTTTATGCAGAGCTCAGATGCAATTTAAACAGGAACCTTTCCTCTTCCTTATTTTCCTCTCAAGTGTTTTTCTCCAAAGAATCTGGATCAAGTGGGCCAAACCAGGCTTGGGTGCTTTCTCACCATTCAGGAATCTAGCTCCTGGAAGTCTGTGGACATTCCTTAGAAAAGGCTAGTTTTGTCCAATGGAGGACAGAGTTCTTTTTTTCCCCTAGTAATGGGACTGCATTCCTCACCTTTCAACTTGGACCGAACCTTGTTGGCCGTCTTCTTGATGTCTGCAGTGAGGTCCTCCAGTTCCTGTTTAGTCTCTGAGGGGAGGGTGAGGAGGGTAAGTGAGAAGTCTGGGTGGGACCCCAGGCCCTCCCCCTACCACTGACACCTGGTGGTGGCACTCACTCTCATCTGGGTTGGGGGCGGCCAGGATGGCACTGTGCTGTTTTTTCACCTGCTCTACATCTTCTGACAGTTTCTCAATGCAGCCTCGGATCTCTTCCACCTGGAGCAGAAAAATCGGTGATACCCAGTCAAGTTGTTGGGCCACATGAGGGGATCCAGGGTAATCAGCCAGGGCAGGAAATAGGCCGGACACAGATGGATTGATAAAAGGCCAATGAGAGTGAAGAATAGAGAAAGGGGGGTGCTCAGAAAATGGCTGGCGAAGGGCCAGGTTCTGGGTCTGGGGCCACTGGGGACTCATCACCTGTTCAAAGAACTCATCCATAAAGTGGTCCCGATCCACGTGGACGACCTCCTCCTCATCATCACTGTCTTTCGCCTGCAAGGCAAAGGAAGGCTGAATCCGTGAGCTGTCCCTATCTTGGTCCCCCAGGCTGGCTCTCTGGCTCTCTGGCCCTCTTCCCACGACACATTTATAGATATTCTAAGCTCAGAAAAGAGTTTTTGGGAGGGGTCCTAAGTAGGGGAGATGGCAAGGGCACCAAAAGGGGGAATGAGCACCTGATATACCTTGTGGAATAAGGTTCTGGAGACCAGGGTAGCTGATAACTCAAAGGACACCTTGGAGGGAATTAGCAAAAGGCAGGTGGATGTGGCCTTATGGGTACCTGGAATCAGATGGTATTCAGGGCTGCTGCTACTGACCAATCAGTATGAATGTATTTCAATATTTTAACAACCAGCTAAATGTCAGCTTTGCAATAATTGGCTCTGGGATCCAAGAGGGACTCTAGAATGGTGTCCCAGGAGCCTGAGTGTCCCTGACATCCCCAGCAGTGCCTGCCCAGGCCTCACTTTACTCCGCTACTATTTCCTCCCTGCCCCCACCTGACCAGCCATGTCCCCTGTGCAAGGTCACTTCACTGCTAGCAGCAGGCGCCAAGCATGGTGAGGCCCAGTGAAGGCTGGGTGAGATGCAGGCAGCGCCCAGACCTCCCTAGTTCCCTGCAGCTCCCCCCAGCACTCTCACTCCCCCCTCAGCCTACTCTTTTTCATGTATTCACTCTCTTTTATCCAACCCCTTCCAACTGCACACCCACCTCCTCTCACTGGCTTGGATTTCCCAGTCGAAACCTGCAGCTGCTCAGCCCTCCACCCTCAGGGCTCAGAGACACAAAGGGATTCACCCACCCACACCACCATCGCCACCAACAGACAGACCAGTGACACAGACAGAAGTGCACACAGAAATAGGCCCCCGACACCCACGTGGAGACACGCTGTCATGTTGAAGCTCACCCGCACACAGACCCAAGCAAAGTTGCACGTGAACACACAGACCTTCGGGCGGGCCGTGCCCCTGGAGACATTGAGGAGGGCCCTGGAGGTTTTTTCTCCCAGCCTCTCTGAACCTTGGGTTTGCACATTCATTTAGAGCTGGGCAAAGGGCACAGGGAGGGCTCCCCAGGGCTCTCCACTCCTGACTCCAGCTCTTCTCTGCTTGGGACAGAGGTCTGAGGGTAAAATCTGAGCACATCAAGCTTAATTGTGTCTGGAGCTCTAATCAGCCCCAGTGGAAATTTCAACAGAGTTCATCCTGATTTCTAGAAAGACTCTAGCCAGAGTTCGGACAGAAGTTCATTTGGAGCCTGAATGAAATCAAGACAGGATCCAAAGGGAATCTAAAGAGAAGAGCTAACAGGGTCCGAGTAGAATGCAGACAGGCCCTCGCAGAAACCAGACAGGCTCAGACCAAACTAGGCTAGGCTCAGACAGATCCCAGACAGCTCAGATCGAACCGAGACAGGGCCAGATGGGACCTCGATGCAACCCAGACAGCCGAGAGAGCTTGGAATCCGCAGATCCCCGACAGCATGGGAAAGAGCCTGCACAGCCCAGAGGAGCCCTCCCACTGGACGCCCCCAAAGCTGCCCCAGTCTCCTGCCTAAGTCCTGCCCCAACTGAATTTGAGGGATTCTCCACACAGACTCCAGGCCCACACCAAGTCAGAACACATGTCAGACACTTCAAGACAACACCAAATATCTGCCTAGAGAGGTGGGTGCCTCTGTCACAGCTGCCCCCAGAAGGAGGAGTGGCACAGGTGGATCTTGGGAACCCTGATAAGACTTGTGGCTTCTCAAGCCTCCACCCCAGACAGACATTGGCCCTGAGAGGTTTTGGGATGTGGGGCTTATCTCTGAGGACCTGCTGGTCTCCCATGATAGTTTCTAACATCTCAGTCCTCAGAACCCAACTACCCTATGAGGCCTCCTTCCCCTAAGAGCCAAGAGCCTTGCTCTGCCCCTTCTGTTTCTGCACACTCACTCAGCCTTCGCCCTACCTCACAGGGGTCAGGACATCCTCACTAGCCTTAGTATCTGGGAACTTTCCTGTTCTGTCTTTCCCTTTCCCATGCCAACTTTAGGAAGTCCTTCCTAAAGTCTAATTTCACTCTCTCTTCCTGTTCTCAGAACCACTTCCCTTAGATTCTTCCTAGAGTATCTTGGGCTACCTGTTTACTTGCCCTTGAGAGAGGAAGAAAGGTGGAAGGGTGCAAATATGATTTATTTGGAATAATAATTATGAAGAGAGCTAAGAGTTAATAATCCTTCCTCTGCATTTATAAACACTTTTACACCCATAATCCCTTTTGATCCTCACCATCATAGCTAGTCCTGTGAGAAAGCTGAGCAAACATCATTATCCCCATTTCACAGATGAGGGAACAGGAAGTCACAGAGGGGAAAAGGAGAGTGATTTGCCCAAGGGCTAAACAGGACCAGGACCTGCCTCCTCCCAAGACCTCATCTAAGGCTCCAGGTCCGGTTCCCCACTCAGTGACTGTCACCAGCTCTTTCTTCTCTCAGGTCAGCTCCTGCTAAGGCCCACTCTGGGTAAAAGTCTCTGTGTCCTGAAAAACCTAACAAAATGTTATCATTTGACAGTAACTTCTGTATAAGTCTTACACTCTAGTTATCTTTTTCAATCTTCATTAAAACTCTGTAAGGATCATTGGCCAACATAATTACAATTATGACAAACACTGAGACAGTGTTTTACAATGTGCTGGGCACTCTTGATATATTTATCCACTTAATGTTTATAACAGCCCTCTGAAGTAGAGATTATTATAGCTCCCTTTTATCAATAGGGAAAATGAGGCAGTGGGGGCTAAAGAGCTTGCCCCAGGTCCCCAGCTAGAAGGCCATGTGACTTCTCCCTTCCCAGTCCCAGTATCTGCATTTAGTGAAGGCAATAATGTCCAACCCACACGGTGGTCAGGAGGGGCAATGAGATAACGTGGGGAAAATGCCCAATGCTGCAAGACAGAGATTAATAAGCGTTTGGTGAGGGTTGGCTATTACCCCCGGCCTCTTCCACATTACAGAAGAAGAAACAGTCTCAGACAGTTCACCTTACCTGCCTAAGGCTTCTTGGAAAGTAAGGCCTTATTATTAAGCCCTTAAACCTGAGACTGTCAAATCTCAGGTTTTTCCCCAACCATCCTTCTGAGGATGACAGTCCCTCTATTCCTCACTGGCCCAAAGAGCCCTCTCTGTTGTTTCCTCAGTACTTTTGAGCTCCTGTGGCCAGGACAGAAAATCCGTAAAATGGGCCCAGGGCTGCAAAAAGAATCCAGCAGCTAGGTCTTCCAGCCTCCTCTTGACTTGCTGTGTGATCCTAGCCCTCCTTGCTCTGAGGTGTCGTTGTTTAATAATGAGCATATATCTTTATTTTTTTCTTTTTTGGTATGACACGTTTTAATGCATGTATGTACATACTGGTTACAGAGAAAAAGAATTCGATTGATTTCACATATTAGACACTGGACAACTAATAAATGCCCTCTGCATTGCTACCACTAATGTAACATTTAATATCAGTGAGAAAATTGTGCTGTTGTAGGCAAGTGTTCTACCACTGAGTTACACTCCCAGCCCACCTGCTATTCTAAAGATAAAATAAAATTAAACAAGTTCTAATAAACAATGAGCACATTTCTAGAAATCAGGCAAGCCTAAAAGAAATTAGGCTCTGAGAGTACTAGGCAAAGATGATCAAATGTGTCCCAGTCCACTTCATGGTGGCCTCAGATGGACAATTCAAGTCTCCATTTCCTCTTAGGCAGAATGAGGAATATAATAATTTATACTTGTATAACACACAGTACCAATGACCATGAGTTGGGCCTGGTTACAAGTGCTTTGCATTTCTTGTTTAATCCTTATAACCACCCTGTGAGGCAGATACCATTCTTATTTCTTTTTGATAAATGAGGAAACTGAGATAAAGAGACTAAGTAACTTGCCCAAGACTATTCAGTCGATTAGGTGCTGATGGGGTCGCAGTGCCTAGATTTGGACCCAGGCACTCTGCTCTTTACTGCCCTCCAACTGCTTGAGTGCTTGGGAGGATTAAGGGAGTTGGCCCTGAGCTCTGGAGCACATTCTAGAACTGTCTTGGCAATGGGGGAGCATCCAACCCAAGCCTTCTCAGACTCCTCAAATCCAGGTGTTCCACATCAGAGATACCAAGGGCCCCTGTGTGTGTGTGCGTGTGTGTGTGTGTAAACACACACGCATGCCTGTGCATGCTAACACACCCTGCTCACCCATGCTCCTCAGCATCGTTTGATCTAGAGACAGCAGCCTCTCTGCCCACGCCCCCCTCCTGCTTCTGTCCATCTGTCTCCCTGGCCTGGGCCGCTCATTCCTCCCTCCCTTCTGCCCTCCCATGGTCCAGCCTAGCCCTCTCACCCCGACCTCTCTCCTCCACTTTCCCTGTCTGACCCACCTGCCCCCGTCCCCATCTCCCTGCCTCACTGAGTCATTCATTCATTCATCTAACAAATAGGTACGATTTGTGCCAAGTTCTCTTCTGGATGCTGCTGGAGATACAGTGGCAAAGAAGACAGGCAGAGAGGTCCTGCCTCCAAGGAGCTGAAACTCCAAAGGCGGGGTGTGGGGGGAGACAGACAATGAAAAATGGACAAGATAATTTCCAATTGTGCTTAACTTGCAGGAGGGAGATAAATAAGAAGATGTGATACAGAGAAACAGGCACGGGAAAGACTTCAGATAGGGTGGTCAGGGAGGGCCTTTCTGGGGAGATATTTGAGTTGAGCCCTAAAAGAGCCAACTGTACTATAATGTAGAGGATACGGCACTCAAGGCAGAGGGAACAGTGTTCTGGGCAGAGGGAACAGCATTCTAGACAGGGGGAACAACATTCTGCACATGGGAAACAAGTGCAGAGACCCTTAACACACATTTAGTGTGTTTGAAAGGCAGAAAGAAGCCGGGGGGCCCTAGAGGACATCCACTCACTGCTGGGGTTCTCTTGGTGTCTGTCCGCACCCTCCTTTGTCTCCTCCTTCTCGCTTCTCTCCTCTTCTCCTGGCTTCCCACTCTATGTCCCTGCACGTACCCCCTCTTATCTTCTCCTCCCCACTACCTTTCTTCTCTACCTCACTTGCTTGCTTCTCCTCCTCTGGAGCCTCACCTTAGCTTACTCCTTGGATCTGGGAACTCCTCATCCATATCCAGCCCAGCACCTCCCAGTTCCAACCAAAAGTGCTTGGTGAACTGGAAAAAGAAAACTCTGGTTCAACCCCAGCTCTTACAGTGAGTTATGTGACCTTGGGTAAGTCATTTTTCTCCCCTCTGGTTCTCATTTAACTCCAAAATAAATTAGGGGTCATATCCTCCCCATTTTAGGGGGCTTACATGGTACTCAAGAGGAATATACAAATCGTCTGTGGAACAGCAACCACAGAGGACTGCTCTGCCCCAGGCCCCCTCCGAGACACTTTATGCAGGCCAAACTTCTGAAACAGATACTATTCTACTCCCAAATCATATGAGAAGAAAGTGAGGATCAGACAGGTTAAGCAACTTGCCCAAGGTCACACAGCAAGGAGCAAAGTTAGGATCTGAACCAGAGCACTGGCTCTCAAGTATGGGACTTCAACCACTGAATGTTAAATAGACTGGAGAACCCCTTGGGAATGCTAAGAACCACTAGAAAGTCAATCAGGCCCTCAGGCTAACATTCCTTTCCAGAATCTCAGAGACCCTCTTTTAAGGGCTCCCAATGCCCATTCAGTCTCTCCTGCCTCTCAGCGCCCGTGAGGAGATCTTTCTTTTCCTTGCATCCTGCCAGCTTCTTTCTGAGCCCCACCCACTACCCTGCCAAATCTCCAGTCTCCCAGAGCTGTGACTAACACCAGAGCCATCAGCATCCACTCAACCCCCCAACCCCACACCATTCCAGCTCCCCAACCTGGGCCCCAGCAACCCAGCCCCAGGTTCCCTCACCTGGGGGTTGGGGGCCCTGACTCATTCAGCCAGGGAATGAGGAGCACTCCCCACCCCCACCTCCTCCACCAGACCTGTCTTAGCCTCTTCCCTCCTTCTCTATAATTATACCACAATTCTGCCACCACCTCACCCCAACCGCTTTGCATTTTTCTGGGTTTTGGAGACAAGGAACAGACTTGGCTGCAAGGGATCTGGGTTCAAACCTGCATTCCTCCCTTTGTGCTAGCTGTGTGACCTTGGACAAGTCATTTATCGCTCTGGGCCTCAGTTTCCCCAACTAATAATGAGGAAGTCTCTCAGTTTGCCTACCTATCCAGATTGGTGGAGATTATGATGATAATGGGCTTTGTAAACTGCACCATGAGGGAAAAGAGAGTTTTGAGAAAGGATGCTGAATCCAGCCGACCTGGGTTTGAATCTAGCTATGTGACTTTGGTCAAGTGACTTAACCTCTCTGGGCCTTTGTTTCCTTACTGTACAATGAGATCATATTTGTACCAGCTTCATAGGGTTGCTATGAGGATCAAAATGATTTAATATGTCTAAAACATTCAGGATAGTGTTGATGATTATCATTATTGTCATTTTCCTCATGCCTAAGTGTATATGCAGTAAAAGTTTAAAAGAAATAAACCTTTTGATTCCCTCCCCATAAACGGCAGTCACTGCCTCCAAGCTTGTGTCTCTCTGAAAGCTGAGTCCCTGC